CAGTACTAGTATAAACTATTATGCAAAGATGAACAGTCACAATACTCAATACTCAATAGGCGCGATAATAATCACTTGTATAGTTAATATTTTGTATTTGCCGAGACACTTTTGTCACAATTGTTTCTGACAATTAATCTATTATCTATATGATAAAGAAGAAGTTCTGCAGTATATACTGTACTCTATGCATACTATAAATACAAATATTATATAAAATGTAAATATTAAATCCCAAAATATTGGATAATCCTGCTATCCTACAGGCTATATCCGTATGAAATTGCACTGCTGGTATACCTATATAACTGATACTAGAGATTTTTTACCTTGTATATTATTATATCATGCATGTGCATGCAGTGTAGCACGCTTTTCAGCAGCAAATTTTCGTTATCTGTTTAAATTTTAATATAATTATACGAAAATCTAAAAAATAATACAATTTCTAAATCGAAAGTCCAAAGTCCAAAGTCCAAAGTCCATAGTCCATAGTCCATAGTCCAAAGTCCAGTCCAAAGTCCAGTCCAGTGTTTACAATATGCCATCGCTTGCTTGCATTCGTTATGGATTGTGTAGATTTGGCATGCACATGTCAAAAATAAGGGCAAAAAAATGTTTAAAAATTAAAAAAGCCCATTATCATTTGATGATTTTCAGAAAATTACGTACTTAAATTATCCAAAAACATCAAAATAAAGCTAGTTTTCATATATTGTGCATGAAATATTTAAAAGTTAAAAATTTTCCGCGCTTGTAAAACTGCGACAACAAACTACATCGCTTGCTTGCATTCGATATGGCATTGTGTAGACTTGGCATGCACATGTAAAAAATAAGCCAAAAAAATGTTTAAAAATTAAAAAAGCCCATTATCATTTGATGATTTTCAGAAAATTACGTACTTAAATTATCCAAAAACATCAAAATAAAGCTAGTTTTCATATATTGTGCATGAAATATTTAAAAGTTAAAAATTTTCCGCGCTTGTAAAACTGCGACAACAAACTATCGCTTGAAAAAAAGAACTTGCTGTTTTTATCAATTTATGGCGCTTCATCTGGTGGAACTTGACAAAAATACATGTGATTGAACATACCTGATTTCCAAACACACATTCCAGTTGCAGGTTTTACAACAACAGCCGTTTAAAAAACTTTTTCTTCGTCTTTTTTTCATCTTATAAACGAACGAAGTTGTTTTGCAAAAACAATCGATCCTCGTGAGTGAGATCCCAGACTTTAATATATCTTAATACACTACAACATTCCCCATATAATCAGCCGTGATTAAGAATCCGGAAAAAAGATTTTGTCTATAGTAATAGCACAGATCCCAAATCCATTGTGAATTCAGCTTGAATTGTACCTTTTTACGTAGTAATTTTAAAAAGAAGTCAAAACAAACATGCATGCCTGATCAAACCACATCGAATTCGAATAAAAATGAAAATATGCGGGGGGACCTGCATCACACATAGATCAGGGGCGCCATAGCCGTTTCACCGCCCGTGTTTTACAGCGCCCTGGCCGTACCCAGTCCTTATTGCGACATTTTGGTTCAATTTTCACATTTAAAACAGCAATAACTCAAAGACTATTTGAAAAATCAAAAAACTGTTTAAAAGTCTTATATGCGGTTTTTTGTACGTTTTCCGATGATGCTAGTCATTTTTATTGTAATTAAATTCAGAATTTCCCTTTTTTTGCTGTAATACAATTTAATAGAGGATAATCATTGATCACCCATTCTCTCGGGATTGGGCAACTTTTTTGTTTGGGAACTTTTTTTGGTAGTGACGTACCTATTTGCCTTTCAAATAAACCTCAAACCAAGTATTTCCAACATGGGTGCCACGAAGCGAAATAATTTTGGCTAACAGCCCACGGCCTATTATATCAACACGAGTGGAAATTGGGAAAACGCGAAAGAAATTTTCCGTGTTGACGTTGAGTTACACCAACACGGCTCTTAGCCAATCAGCGTTCAGAATTTACAAATGCTATATTATAAATGTAAATAGTACATACAATACTTGTACAGTTGTATGCAAAAATTTCATCTCATATAAAAACTATATCTTCTGTTTTCCTTCAGACATGCAATGTTCGTTGCACCTCCATGCACGGTGAAAAAATTCAAAGTGAACGAACAAGAATCTTGACGGCATTTCTGTCAGGGGAATATGATGTTTTGGTGTGCACTGGCGTCTTGGGTAGGGGTCTGGACCTACGCTGTGTCAAACAGGTACGTGTGATCTCAATCAACTGGGATAAAATAATATTAATCGGCTGTATTTTAAAAGCTCACTCACGCTCACAGTCAAAAGGTCCAGAAAAACCGGACGCGATTCGACAACGCGACGCGATTTTTCGATTTTCACTGACCGATAACTTAAATGAGTTTGATCCTAGTTCATAAACTTTCCAAATATTTAGAAGCGTTATAACATTTTGAGTTATTTGGTCTACATATCTTTTAAAAGTTGCTCTCATTGCCTGTTTTATTAACTTTCAAAAACTAAAAAATCGCGTCGCGTTGTCGAATCGCGTCCGGTGTGTCTGGACCTAAAGAGTGGAGGTTCAATCGGAGCTTCCTTTGAGTGTCAGTGTTGTTTTTGGATAGCTGGAGGGTTAGTGTCGTTCCTTACCATGCGACTACTCACCCTCCAGCTATTCAAAAACAGCATCGACACTCGTGCAAGAGAAACTCAGATTGAATCTCCACTCTTTGTGTATTTCGAAGACACCATGTTTACATAATAACTAACTTAAGCAAAGCTTAATCTAGTACGGGAACATGACAAGAAACCGCCTTAAATCTTACGCTTTTATAATTATAAAGAACTACCGTTATTAAGAACTTCGACAAAGCAGAACGAAAGTGCAACGAGAACAGCTAATAACATCATAATAATGCAAGAAAATGAGCAGAAATTAATAATTGAAATCTCACGGACGTTTTAGACGTCGCCGTAGCTCTGTTTTACAACGGCGAAATACAGATTATCGCGTCTTGCATACCACGCTTACATTTTAAACTGGGGCAACTGCTATTTTAAATTGGGTCCTAGAACCTTTCTCAATCATAAGCCCAGTGGCAGTCTTCATCAAGATCCTTTCTTCTGCAATCATTTGGGCGGGCAGGGCGCGAAATAACGGCTGGAGGGCCGCCGGTCAAGGTGACCGGCTGTCCGGCCGACTCAATTTTAGCTCGGACATGCCGAATTTCTGGCCGGTCAAATTATTCAGCTTAAAGCAAAGCCTAGTAAAGTATACCCCTAAAAATGTGACTATTTTCACAGTATAGCTTTACAAAAAGCCTTACTGTAATCAGTAATGGAGAAGATAAACAGCTTCCATTGCGCTAAAACAGCTTGCACTGCGCTAAAAGCATAGCCTTAACTCTTAAGCCAAAGACATGGCCATTGGCTTTGTGACGTACGGTGTGGGAAAGCTGGCGTACATTGGAGTTCTTTTCCCGCAAAATATTCGACAACATGTTATTGCAATACTTGACAACTTTATTTTGATTATAAATTAAAATGAAGATTAGTTTGTTCTTTCACCGAAAGTGAGCGGTCAAACTGACCGGCAAGGTAAGAGTTTGACCGGACAACTCGGCATTCTGGCCGGACATTGTCCGTTGAACGGCCGTTATTTCGCGCCCTGTGGGCGGGGTATTAGTTGGGATAAAAGCAGCCATATGAACACAGGTTTTTGATAAACCAGGCTCATTCGAACATGCCCTGAAACACCGTGGATTCTTACATGCATGTATTAGTTAAGGTCGTGGCTATCTCGTCAGGTACACGCGTAAAAACGCACAAGTTGAAGTTGTAACCAATCTGAAGTAGACTTGTGGCAATGCTGTTCCAACAACTTGTCAAGACGATGTGTTCGCACTGTTCCAACAACTTGTTATCGTCCTGCAATTCAACAATTTGTCAACAAGTTGTGATCGAGTGACAACCTTGTAGCAACTTTTAAAATAACAGCATTATTACAACATTGTTACGAAATGCGAACACATCTTGTTGACAAGTTGTGAGATTTTTAAATGTGTAGCGGCAGGCTCAAACGAACAAGTCCCTAATTCTCTTTGGCGTTCTAGGTGATTAACTTCGATATGCCATCGAGTGTGGACGAATATATCCATCAAATTGGCCGAGCTGGTAGGCTAGGCTCCAAAGGTCTCGCGATGACGTTTATAAACAACACGAACAAAGCTGTATTTCTCCACCTCGTGGAAGCTGTTCAATCTCATGGTGTGAAACTACCTGATGAACTTCTAAACTCTCCTCACTTATCGTCCCAGCAATACGAGCGGGAACATAAGAGAAAGATTAGGAAACGTAAACGCGAGGAAAGCTACGTGAACAGGGAGAATTTAATGGATATCTTGAAGAAAAGTACTTTCCGAAGACGATTGAAGGATCGCTGACTAGTTTTTGGGGTAACATCTCACGAGCAATTTTCACAAAATGCGTATGTAACACTAACTTCGTTTGTGCTGGATAGCTGACATAGCTCTAGATTTAACAATTGTCCTCTCTAGAGGTCCAGCAAGGCTATTGGCTCCGTCTTATCAAAGGAGGAAACCTAGACTAAACTTTATTCGCTCTATCAGATCAGTTCTAAACTGTTCTT